TCCGGAGAATTTGCCAAATAGGAAAGGCGCCCGCTGCAGTGGCCTAGGTTTCTCACTGAAAATCCTCGTCCCCCGGCGGCACTTTTTTTTGAATTCTCTTCCTGTTCAACGCCGTTTTTCGGAAATTTCGGATTTTTGTTTGAATTTTTTCGCAATAATATTTGAAAAACAGATAACTTTTAACACATTTTAATGCAATAAAAATTTCTGGTCGGAGTCCCCCTTTAATCTAATGCCAGAAAATCTCAATTTTCCTGTATGTCGACTGGGCACTCCGGAAAAATGCAACTGAGAATGAGGAAGGAAAAAGTTCTGGAACAGTGGGTAAATTTGAAAACGAATATCAGAGAAAAAAGTTGATTTCAGACGAAAGTGTTAAGTTCGCGGATTTCGAAAAAAAAATTTCCAGTCGATAACTTGTGTCAGAGGTATAGTACAAAAAGAATTGGGAGCTTAAAATCTAGATAATTCATTTCAGTTACTTCGAAACAACAATCAACATCATCTTCTGATCATCGTCATCGACTGAGGCAAAAATGAACAAAACGAGAAGCTCCGATGCCGTTTCAGCCAGTTCGACAACAGCGGAAGAGAATAATATAAATTTTAATTAATTGATTTTTCGCTTTTCATTGTTTTTTTCTGTGTAATAAATCATTTTAAAGCAGCGGCTAGCTTCCAGATTCGAAACAATATATGTGCCAATTATTGCTTTCGCGACAAGCCAATTGTAGGAGATTTGCTCGCGATATGCCGAATATTGGTCGTTCGCGATTGGTCTGTAAATGGCCTGCGGCAGGCATGTTCCGATGTACCCATGGCGACTTTCCGCGAACAATATTTCACATCTAGACGCTGCGCGAATCACCTGTGTCGGCTGTGGTGTACGCGGTAAAGCCGCTGTTTTGAATCTGACCCTCCCTGGTTCGATTCCACCCAGCCTTTTATACTTTTTCTATTTCTTTTTAGATCTTTGTAAATGTATTGCAGACAATTCTACTGCGCTATTTCTACAATTTGATGGCTCAACTTGATGAAAATGCCCAAAATCTAAAAAATGAGATGAAAATCGCGGAAAAAGAGATAAGAAACATGATAGAAGTCGCTGAAGAAATGATGTTCGATTTCGGAGAAGACTCGTATAAATGCGATTTTTATGATTTGGATAAATTTGAAAAAAATTGGAAAATTTGGGAAAAGAAGTCTGAAAACCCAACATTTTGGGTCCATATCAAACTTTCGATGGCAGCATTTTTGGTGGGATTGATTGTGGAGACTACTGTAGATGCAGTATTCAAACCGGTGAGTTTGTATCTTTTTTTTTTTTTGAAATTTTTGCCCAAAAATCGATTTTCAGCTCATTTCCCTACTCACTTTCCCATTCTTCTCCTTCCTGCTCTTCAGTAGACTACAAACTACAAAATGGAAATTTGAGAAATTCGAAGAAAAATGTGATATGCTTTGGGCTTATGTGGTTTTCGCCTTTGATTTGGCACATCGAGCCGAGGAGAATCTGGAGGACGACATGGAATAGGCTCCGCCCACTTTTTAAGTGCCGTTTTCAGCTGAATTTGAGAAATTCCCCCTTGAATAAATTATTTTATTTGAATTTTTAGATTTTTTTTTCTTTTTATAACTTGTCTTTTTTCTGCTTAAAATTCGCTCATTTTTGCTGAAAATTGGCTGAAAAATGTGTGTGTGAACTCAGCAATTTGTTTCGGCGAAAAAGTGAGAAAATCGTTGAATTATGCAGGCGCGCTCTGTTGGCCACCAGCGAGAGAGTGTGAAGAAAGAAGAGACGCAGAGAGCCAAACGCGAGGGAAGTTTGAATTTTCAATTTTTCGGCGATTTTCTGCGATTTTAACTGATTTTCAGCCGATTTTCAGGAAAGTTCAGATCAAAAAATAATAAAAAAATAATTTTAAAGCAGTTAGACTACAATTACATGGGAATTTTGTTAGTTATTTTTTTGAAAAAATGTTTTTTTCCCAAAAAAAATTTTATTTCTTTTTTTAGATTGTGAACTATATTTTTTTGTTTATTTTCAAGTTTTTTCTTCTGCTAAAATAAACAATTTTCGGATTTTTTTTTTCGTAATTTTCGACTTTTCAGGGAATTTTCGCAATTTTTCTTCGTAATTCGACATTTTCTCTCAGTTTCTTTCAATTTCCCCTTTTTTCCTCCACCAAAACCCTATCTATCATCCCTCATCAATTCTAAATAACGCCCCTTTCCCCCCTCCCTTCTCTTTCTCTCTAATCCTCTCTTTTCGGGCTCTCCAGAGACAACTTTAGTGTCTTTTTCTTGTTTTTGCACTTTTTAAAATGTATAATTTCTTCTTTTTCTTTCTTTTTTCCTCTTTTTTTGTCGATTTTTAGCATTTTTCCTCAAAAAATGGACTAAAAATGCTATTTTCCACTGAGTCTGCACTCTTACCACGCCGTGTTTGCACACAATGCGCCACACCTGACGACACCAAATTCCTCCATTTTTATCATTAGTTTAGCCAATTTCAGCTCGATTTTCCTCGTTTTTTCTCGATTTTTTTCAATAAAATCATGTAAAATAACAATTTTAATGTTTCTAATAAAAATTCCAGATGAAATGAGGTCATCTACAGCGCGCAGCGGATCGAATTCCACGGATGACCGCCGATCGGTGGTTTCTGGGAATTCCAGCACCGCGTCGACGCTGGTAGCGGATAGTTTGGCGTCTGGAAAGACGGCGACGTCACAATTGAGAAAGTTGGTGCTCGAAAAATTCGAAAAATTCAAAAAATTCAAAAAAATCTGTAATTTTCAGATTTACCGCCGGTGTCGGACGTCCAGGCCTGGCTCGCGAAGCTCGTGACGCTGTGAGAGCAGCGTTGGTTGCTCAGAATCCATTGGTAAAATTCGAAATTTTGAAAAAAAAAAATCTGAAAATCAACTTTTTCAAATTTTTCCAAAAAAAATTTTTTTTTTGGTTTTTTAGCTTAATTTTTACAGCTAGAAACTTTAAAAATTGATATTTTCAGCCAAAAATTCATATTTTTCAGAAAAGAAATTTCTAAAAAATTTGCTTTTTCATTTTCAAATTTTCTCCAATTTTTTGCAGAGAAAAGCGCCAATCAGTGAGCCCGTGGACTATGAAAAATTTGTCAACGAAAGGAGTATCCAGCTAGAGAACGATCCACAACGAGAGATTGTTCTATGTCCCAGGGATGATATTGAGGTAACTGAAAATTGCGAAAATTTGGCTGAAAATGACTGAAAATAGCTTCAAAGACCCGAAAATTGGCTTCAAACGGTTCAAATAGCCCCAAAAAGCGTTTTAAATCGTTCAAATTGCCCTAAAATCATTGAAAAATGGCGAATTTCCAGTTTTTTTGATAAAACATTTTTTGGCGTCTTCTAACTTCTGAAAACGTAATTTGCTGAAATTTTCACGTCGTTAACTGTCTTTTTCATGCGATTTCCGTCATTTTGATACCCATATTGCCCTAGTTTGATGAGATTCTGAATTCAGAAGACGTCAAAATTCAGAACCTTACCAAACTAGGTCGATATGGGTATTAAAAAAACAAAAATGGCAAAGGAAAGAAGGTTAACGAAATGGAAATTTCAGGAAATTGCGTTTTCAAAAGTTAGAAGACGTCAAAAATTCCGAATCTCACTAAACTTTGCCGTCTTCTAAATTCTGAAAAGGCAATTTTTGAAATTTTCATGTCGTTAACTTTCTTTCCTATGTGATTCCCGTCATTTTGATACCCATATCGACTTAGTTTGAAGAATTTTGATATTCAGAATCCAGAAGTCGTCAAAATTCCGAATCTCACCAAACTAGGGCAATATGGGTATCAAAATGACAGAAGTCGCATGGAAAAGAAGATTAACAATGTCAAAATTTCAGGAAATTGCGTTTTCAGAATTTAGAAGACGTCAAAGTTTTTGGAAAAAAAATTTTGCTGTTTTTTCAGCTATTTTAATCTCAAAATCTGTTATATTTTTTGCAGGAATCATCGATTCAACAAGAATGCGAAACGGCAATTCCGATGGTGAAGCCGTCGGATATCAAACAGGCGAAATGGCTTCTGACAAGAGAAGCACTGAGATTCTACACACAACCACATCGATCGATCACTTTTAATTATGCCAACTTCTCGGGAGATTATTCAGCAAACAATACGTAAGAATTTGGCTGAAAAATTGGCTGAAAATGACCAATATTTGGGTTTTTTGGAAACTTTGACGTCTCCTAACTTTTGAAAACGCAATTTTCAGAAATTTTCACGTTGTTAACATTCGTTTCCATGTGATTTCCAACATTTTGATACCCATATTGCCCAAGTTTGAAGAGATTCTGAATTCTGAATTCAGAAGACGTCAAAATTCAGAATTTAACCGAACTAGGTCGAAATGGGTATCAAAATGTTGGAAATCACATGGAAAAGAGAGTTAACGACGTGAAAATGTCAGAAAATCGCGTTTCCAGAATTTAGAAGACGTCAAAATCTCACTAAATTTTGACGCCTTCTAGCTTCTGAAAACGCAATTTTCTGAGTTTTTCACGTCGTTAGATCTCTGTTTTGTGTGATTCCCGTCATTTTGATACCTATATCGATCTAGTTTGGTAAGATTCAGAATTTTGACGTCTTCTGAATTCAGAATTCAGAATCTCTTCAAACTTGGGCAATATGGGTATCAAAATGACAGAAATCGCATGGAAAAAAGGATTAACGACGTGAAAATGCCAGAAACTCGCGTTTTTAGAAGTTAGAGGACGTCGAATTTCCGAATCTCACAAAACTTTGACGTCTTCTAAATTCTGAAAACGCATTTTTTTGAAATTTTCACGTCGTCAACTTTGTTTTCCTGTGTGATTCCTGTCATTTTAATACCCGTATTGCCCTAGTTTGGTAAAATTCAGATTTTCGACGTCTTCTGAATTCAGAATTCAGAATATCACCAAACTAGGTCGATATGGGTATCAAAATGTCGAAAATAGCATGGAAAACAAAGTTAACGATGAGAAAATTCCAGAAAATCATGTTTTCAGAAGTTAGAAGACGTCAAAACTGTGCAAAATTTTTCAGATCCTCCTGCATCGAAAACGAAACGCTATCCTCGTTGGTTTTTGAGTCAGATATGGCACTGGAAGACGAGAGAGCCGCCTATGGAGCATCGTTGGGTATTGGATCCGTTGGAATTGTCAAAGTGAGCAAAATTCTTGAATTTTGGCTTAAAATTCGGGAAAGTGGTCCAAAATTCCCGAATTTTGGTTCATTTTTCATCAAATTTGGAGTCTATTTGAACCCCAAAGCTCGCTTTCAGGAAGGCAACCTGAACATTCTCAAATCCGACACGCCCACGTTCATCGACAATCTGAAGTCGTGGTCCTCAAAGAAGAGATACTGTATTCTGCGACGTCTGGAAGGCGGAGAATGCACGTTTGAGATTCGAAAAGCGGCGCAAGAAGCGCCGAAAATCGCCCCACTGAAAATAGGCTCCGCCCACATCAAATCAACGAAAAAGGGGAAGACGGTGTTGGAGATACGGGGGGGAATCGATGAGAAATCGGCGTGTATACTTCTGGAGAGTGAGGAGACGCAGAGTTTGGAGGATTGGTTGGTGGCACTGCAGACGGCCATTGCGTTCGCCAATAAGGGTAAGAAATCGTTCAAAAATTGCGGAAAATTTGGCTGAAAATGGCTGAAAATGGATTAAAATAGGCCATTATCAGCTTAAGATGAGCGGAAAATGACTTAAAACGACCTGAAATAATTCAAAATTGGCTTTAAATCGCTTACAGTAACCAAAAATCACTGAAAATGACCCTGAAAATGACCCAAAACCAATCTCACCTGACTTAAATTGGCTGAAAATTGCGTAAAAACTGCTTGCTTTAAATGACCCAAAAATGGCCTATTATTTCTCTGAAATTGCTGAAAATAACCCTAAAATGATCTTAAATTATCCTAAATTGCTCAAGATGACTTGAAAATGGCTTAAATTCACTGTAAAATGACCCAAAAATGGCTTTAAATGACTCAAAATTGGCTGAAAATGACCGAAAAACGGCTTAAAATGACCCAGAAAGACACTAAATGGCTAAAAAATGAGCTAAAATTGCTCGAAGTTGGCCTAAAACCGCCAAAAATGGCATCAAAGGATCCTAAAATTGCTTAAAATAAGCTTTTAAATGGTCTAAACTTGCTTAAAATGACCCAAAAATAACATAAAATGACCTTGAATTGACTGAAAAT